TATTCGCCTTGGTTTCCCTAGGTTAAAGTTCAAATTTGTTTAAACGCCTATTCATTTGTAAACTATTAACTGAAAGTACTGTAACTAGGCTTAGGGATTCAGTTATGTATTATTAGTACCATTCCTAAGGGGAAGGGGTAATATCTTTGCAAAAATATTTATTATTTCTCTTGGCATCTGGTAATAAAAGTTATTTTTTTGACCTACATAAAATTTGTATCATTACTATACCCTCAACTATTATTATAATTATAAATCAGCTTCTTATTGACCTCCAGTTTTATGTAAGTTCAGGTGAAACAAGCTACATGTCATATCATCAACCTCTCTACACGATTGACTTGGTATTTATTGTTTTTATCTCCAACTGTGTAAATTCATAAACAATCTATTCTGATTAATTCACATTTCACTGACAATTAATTGTTTCTTCATGACTGAAATTACCATCAAATGTGTAACTGAACTTCGACATTTCTACTTCAAAAGATCATTTAACAATATTTTCTAAGGTCACCTCTCATTAGTATGGTTCCTATTATCTGTCATCATTTTGATGTATTGTACTTAATTTCATTATAATTACCTATTTTAAATTCAGTTATTACCATTGTTATTGGTGTCTGATCTAATAATAGGCTTTCTTAATTTTATTGTTCTGTCGTGTCATTATAATACATAATATTATTACCAAATTGAATATCGACCATGTTTAATCCAGAAAATATATTGTTTATTTTAGTGATGGCGATTTTTTTTTTGGCTTTATTCTACAAGATCTATGCTTGACTTATCTATACCCAATAGGGAACACGATCAGAGTTTACCATACAATAATGAAGGGATGCAGACAGCACCAATGGTAACAAATGGTTTCCTTTAGAGGAAGTAAAAGTATTGCCGAAGTAGACCTAGGATTATATTGTGATGAATGGTAATGGCAGAGACATCAGACAAAATGTTAGCTGTTCAGTATTTTGTATGTATTGCATGTTTGCCATGAATGAATAAATGATTGATTGAATAAATGAATGATCGATGAATGGATGAAAGATTGCATGAATGAATTAATGAATAAGTGAATGAATGAATGAATGAATGAAGGAATGAAAGAACAAACGAACGAACAAACGATTGCATGAATGGATGATTGCATGAATTAATTAATGCATCTGAACTGAATTTATGTATGTTTCAAACAATGTATTATACCGCATACATGATGATACATGGTGATGTGGCTTGCTCTATCCCTGGGCCATTGTGTTAGTTGTGAATTCCAAACACTCAGTCGTCTGTGGGAGAAAAAAATGTGAAACCCAGTATTTTGATGATACAAAATAGGTAGGAGTCCAGATTGTGCTCCAAGGCAGAGGCGGGTCGTGGAGCCTTTGAAAACTTGCACTACTGTTTTATATTCCTTTTTATGATATACAAGTCTCAATCAAATTACCATAAAGACCATTTTTGGGACCAGGGCATCCGTGGTCTTTAGCAGATTTGGTCTCTAATAAACGGATTCGGCGATGTTTGTTTACAGGCAGTCACGTGACATAACTGGGGTATACATGAAAAACATTACAGTGCGATAATTTAATAATGTTATGGTTGCGAAATCACCCACTGTTAGTGGTAACGTGAGAAATAAATTGCTAGGAAAGGCAATACGATTGTTCGCGGAAGATCATTGTGTATACTTAACCATGCCGTAGAAGTGCAGGAGCCTAGGCCTAACGTTTGTTGAAAAATCTCAATTTTTGTGGCCAGTATCCTTTACATCATTAGCAAAACATTAAGGCAAAATTCTCAAGTGTAATTTCCTATCAATTTGATAGTTTACTAGGAGTTATGATGATCTTTACAGCAATAACAAGGGACGACCGAAATAGAAATGTTGATGTACTGTAAAACACCGCTGTGCCAGTTGATTGTTTGTATCCAACACCCAGGTCACAGGACGTCCTTCACCGAATCCCTCTATTTAAATAATAAAGATAAACGATATTTGTTAATCTGTGACCACAGAGAAGTGGTCTTTAATCAGAGGTGGTATTAATAATTGGAGGGGTTTTTAATTAGAGAGAGACCTGTATTTAAAGAATTTATTATTTTATTAATATATTTTTATGTTTTATTGATATATTGCGTATATTCCATCAATAAATCTGTACTAACATACCCACTGACATTTAAATTCACTATTTTATGTTGTGTACTCCGTATTGTTTGTTGTACATGATAGGAAATTTGAATTTAAATTGAGAGCTGTACTTAGTATGTTCACAGTATGTACAATATTTATGCATGTCATCACTTGTGCATGCAAATAAACAGTACATGGATATGATAGAGAAACCTTATGGTTCATTTGATAATTATAATATCAGATTATAAATTTCCTTTCTAAGTTGATTATTATATTAAATAAATATACTCCAATTAGCACTTACTTGTGATTGTAATTGATATTACAAATACATAGTTATGTTTAATTGACCATAGTTTTAATCAACATTGTGCTTTCTGAGGCAGAACTTTCAATTATAGTACTGTAGCTCAGTATGTATACTTTTACTTGGTTTCAATATTAAGAATAATTAATACAAATAAT